TACTGTTCTTAATGAAATTATCATAATGTTTTGGTCTTGTTGCACTCATCGATGTATAAGCTTTCAAATGCTGCTATAATTATCAAAATCCAACCACTATATCAAAAGATACTGTGGGCAATGGCCTCGGACTTGATGAAAAACGTTGTTTTGAGAAAACGAGAAAAGAAGTTTAGGGACATGGTGAGCATGTATATTCAACAGGTAATGATGTAAATCAGTGCAGTAATGATGCTACAAGCCACCTGGAGTGTAGTCATCATTCTTCGAGCGCTTTCTTTTCATTACATGCCAGATGTTTCCATAGTTCAGATCGACATACTGCGTTTTGACGGTGCTTGCGCAGTCGTCAGCAATGTGCGTAGCAGCCTTCTATGAAACAGGAATCATTCCCACTTTCGCGTAATCTTCATACGTCTTTGCATCACCGTGACAAATTTAGGGTGAAAAAAAAAAAAAAGCAGTTTGTCCGTTTGCTGTGCCGCGCGAACCGCGAGCACGTTGATCCCGAACAGGCCGCGCGCCGCATCTCCCCCTGCTCTCGCCGAGCTCCGTACAAATTTCAGTTCCCCGCACTCATCACACATCAGCACAAGCTTCGTGGTGATTCCATATTCCCGATTTTTCTCGGAAATGCTGCCAGGCCCGCCACACACCGCACTTCATACACTGAAGCAGTTTACGACGGTGGATGGCGTTCCAGTAGTCGCAGAGTCTCAAAAAACATACTGCTCGTGTCGTGAGGCTGACGTCGACGAAAGCTCCCATTGAATGCCACTCACACTACATGCAAGGGCCACTTTTTCAGCGTCAGAAACAAGGGGAGTGCCGACGCGCAGATCTCGCGTGTGATCGTTGGCCTCGGCTATCGCATATGTGATTGCGGGAGCCACGTTCGTGATAGCGTTGGCACAGCCAGCTTTTTCCGTGTTCTCGGCAGCAGACCGTTTTGCTGATAAGACGCTGCATGCTCTCGGACACTGTTCTCGCTTCTTTTCGAACACATGAGCAGTATGCAACTTTCGATGACCGCCTGCCATCGCACCGATCGCACAGCCGTTGCTTAGGCCTTGTCACAAAATGGCCGATTGTGCACCGCTGTCTAGCAGACGAATCTCATGACATCCAAGAGGAAACCGGGAACTGCCCCACGTGACAAAAATGCACCAATGATGTGCGAGTATTTGGGGTTTGTTTATTCACGATAGCTGCGTTGTTGCTAGACGAAAAGCGTTCTTCTGCTAGGAACAGACAAAAGATGAATACCGCTTTAAAATGAGACCAAAATAGCCGTGCTGCTTGGTGTGGTTCTCAGGCACGCGGCGTCGAATATGACCGCTTTTGAGGCGGTTTTGTGAGGGAAAATGATCAGGAAACTGACTTTGAGACCGAATTACTCGACAAATACGCATTACATGGCAATAGCATTTCAGGAACACCATCTTCAGGCCCTATATATTATTTTAAAAAATACTTTAAAAAATAGATTTTTCGGCAATTTTTCGGTCTTCAAGACCCGTGTCTCCCTTAAGTCGCTGATATGGAGGGCACTCACGGGTCTCATTACTTTTTTTTAGGACAAAAACCGGAGAGCAAACAATGCATGGAACCTCTTACTCTAAATCACATTCTAGTAGCAGTTCCAGAATGAGAGAAGAAGACTGCACAGTTTTTGTGAAATGTACAAACTTTTAACTCCTCTCCGCCCACATTTAAATGCTATATTAGAATAAACACGTCTCATTACAGATTGCTTTTAGGGTTCTAAAGGCCACGAGTAATCTTGAAAAACCTTAAAATAATGTTTTATTCTTGATGTTCAATTTATTCCTACATTACCGTGTGGCTGGTCAATCATAGCCACTTGTTGTTTTTATTGCGATAGGAAATATATGCACACTCTTGGCTGGATTTTGCGGCCGGTGTCTGCCGTCATTCACCGTATATGTGTACGTATTTATATACATATGTAAACGCAAGAAATAAAAATAATCGAGAAAAAGACTCCGGCGTGCGGAATCAAGCGCCCGACCTCCAGCTTGTCAGTGTGTGGTACCAGCCACTGAGCCACGGAGGAACGCCTCCTTCAACATTGAAACGGCCAGCTATTTATATTTACCACTTACCGTTGGTGATGCCGATCTCGGGGAATCATCGTGTTTTCAGCATTACCAGCGAGATGGCACAATGAGCGGGTGTCGCCAGATGGTCACGATCTGGCGATGCGTGCTCATGCGTTCATCTCCCACACGTACTTTGCCCCGCGGGAGAGGGGGGGGTAGACGCTCACATGTGCACGCGCTTATCTCGTGGTGGGGAGAATCTTACACCTTGGTGTTTCACTTGAACGATTCTGTTGTAGTTACCGGGCACTCAAAGGTCACTGCACTCGCTGCAAAGTCTCTGTTTGCGAAAAGGGCATGCTTTTAAGATACAGAGAAATAATGACTGAGACATTCGACCTCATCGATTTTCCACTTCTGGCTACCCGCAGGCTGCCAGAGCCAGCCAGAGCGCGCTCGTTTTTTTCTGGCTGCCCTGTACCCCCGCGGCGCACTTCCGGTTGGTGTTCGCTTTTCTCAGGTTGGATGGTTCTGGTGACCCGCGGGGAGTCTGAGGGTCGCTAGACGCTTCCAGGACAATTTAGTCGTGGAAGCTCTCTGGAAGCTTTTGGGCAGTTTTCGGGCTAGCAGACGCTGAAAAAATACGATACGCGCTCGGCGCCATCTTTGTGAGGACTCGACGGATTGCGATGTGGGCGCTTGACTAGGGCGGCTAAAATCATAGCCACCTTATCTTGACGGCTTGAAGACTGCGCCTTGGCTTGTCATTACACGTGGTGTTATCTTCTAAAGCCTGTTCCGCCGTGCAAGATGAGACGATTACGAATGGCAGCAAGTGTTTGAAGCTACTGTTCATCGCTTTTGTTATGTTTCTCGTGAGGCGTCCTCCTGTGAACAACGCGGTGAACTGATGCCTGCTTTCTGTGCATTTAGCAAAAACGGTTGTGGTTGAACTAGCTCGCTGTGTCGTATGTTTGCGTGCGTGAGCCTTTTAGAACTTCACTGCGCGATCGATATTTGATGGTGATCGAAAGCTTTAGAAAGCTGATAGATCGCGTCTGTTGTCTTCAAGCGTGTGATGCTCGCTGGCGGCGAACGGTGTGCGGGCGCACTTCAATCTATGGGCCAGCATATGTGGTATGGTATTATATGCTTCGATGCGAGAAAGAAAAAAAACAGAAATGGATTCAGAAATGCATACATGCCTTCGTTGCCTATTTCATCGTTGGCTTTGTCTTTTTTCACCTCTTCGTAATTATGCTGCGCAGTATGTACGGTTTCGTTATGACTAAGTTGGTCGAATTAAAGCTGATATACATGACATTTGTAAAGTGCCTCTTAGGACTGGAAAACAGGCCCAGGCAAGTCCCAAGACGGGTCGAAAACGTGTCATGCTAAAGTTTATTTTATATACGATGCGCACTCGTGGTACCGATACCTGCGCATGTCTAAACTTTAGACAAAAATGTAAGTTGGTCAACACGTGTTTGCGACGCATACTACGCGATAGCTGAGCATACTACGATATATCCTCGAGTCCTTTTGGGGACACGATCACTTTCGCGTTATTTCGCATCGTGTTGTGCAGTGACTGTCACATGCACTAAGAAGACGTGAGCTATTTTTAAGCCGTCAACGTCGTGGCAGCTCACCTTGCATCCTCCTCGAGGCAGCGTGCGTCAGCTGGCTGTTTCGTTCGAGGACTCGGCGAGGTGATCGGGCAAGCGAAGTCGTACCCCAAATACGTATGCTTGAGGATAATATTTCAGCTTTTTGGCGAGCTTAGCTATATATTTTCAAGCTGGCAATGCAGAAAGAAACCAAGGCGCATGCCGCGCATTGTTTCTTTTGCTGCCACGACGTAACCTGCCACGACGTAAAGCTGCCACGATGTAAGTAGCTTATTTACGGTTACGCTGGCTGTCCCAGCGTTCGATTTTGTGATTTTCGGGCAGCTTCGGGTTGTCTCGGGTTCCCCACACATGTGATCACGACGCTGTTTTCTGTCTCCACCAGAACTAGCTGGCTGACCCTCTGGCTAGCTCTGGCTGCCCGAGAGCCGCCAGAGGCCTGAAAATCGAAGAGCCCCATTTATTCGTGTTCATATGTACCTGTGAGCACGTTTTGTGCATCATTTGTGCATGAGTAGCACGAAGCACATTTTGATCGACTTTTCATTTTTCGCGTGACATTCCAATTTGTTGCTATCGCCTTCATTTCTTCGCCTTTGCGGCAAAGCTGTGACTTTTTCATTAAGAAATTCACCACAACTGACCTTCCATTTTTTTGTGATATCAGCAGATGGCACGGCAAAAATAAAATATGCTCAAAACACAAATTTAAGTCGCAAGTTGCTTTGATGCTGGCAGCTTTCATAAAACAAATAGCGCGTTTTTTTAATGTTTTGTTGACGGTCCCACTTGGAAAATGAAAGAAAAGGCTTGTATTTTAAAGCTGCACTAGAATAATCTGACAGCGACAAAAGAGTGCCACTCTCATCTAAGGGCGAGCAGCATATCGCTATTGAGTAGCCATATTCCGCACAAGACAGCTTGTTTCTTCAACACTAGTGGAAACTGATTAACACAAACTGCCCACCAGCATCTCCATGATTTGCTTTCATGGCCACGCACTACTTCGAATGGCTTTTGACAGCTGATGGTGTCGAGCTTTTACGACGCAGTTTTTTACAGGCAAGAGAACAGACACTTTTGGAGTCTGCTGTACGGTGCACTGAAGTCAATCATCTGTCTCTATTTTTGAAAATATATTTTACATTGTGCTTACAATTAAGTTGCCTTTTTTATGAATTATTTAGGTTGTTTTATATAAGTAGAATTGATTACCTGAGCAAATGAAAGAGTTTCAGTACTTTTAGGCCGAATGATGCAAGAGAAACTTAGCCCAACGAAATTATCTGATGCCTTGCCCATGCAGGTCAACGGCTGCCAGATGGTGCCCCCAGCTGGTACAGCGCAGACATCAGGAGCTGACTTGCCAACAAACACTTACTCACTGTTCAATTCTCCTTGGCCTTCTGGTCTGCACTACATGGCCAAAGAAGGTTTGGAGCCACTACCTCCTTTTTTCTCCCCATTTCCATATGGCTGTCCTATTCTGATGCCAGTGGCTTTTATTCCTCCCTTTTGAAGTCAATTTCAACTTTTTGTTCTTTTTTCGCTTGTGGCTGCTCCTGTTATGCAAATATATGATGGTTGTTTTCCTAGTGTCGTGCGCTTCTTAATAATAATTTGCATGTAGAGGTGTGCACTGCGGCATTGCGCCACCACTGATGCATGTTTTTGTTCACGCCACTGCTAAAGTCTTGAAAGTGATCACGTCGCCACCCCCTTGCAATAATTGTGGCACGCCACTATTAGTCTTTTATTTTAACCTTATCAGGGAATCTGGACATAAACTGTATCACTTCAGCGGGGACGCTTTTCTTGATGTGTCCATGTAATTGACTTACCATTTCAACTGCTACTGTTTTCCGGTTTTTCCTCATCAATGTTATTTTGACGCCGGGAAGTTTTCACTGCTCTAGATGGAAATTAGAGGAACATAATGTGCTATAACCATGGGGGAAAAATGGAAGAGAGCGTTGCAGCATCTATGAGATCACCTACTCTGAAGCCGCTACCTCCTTGGGCTCGTGTCACAGTTTCCATCATGCTCTTTTTTTTTTTCATTTTTTTTTTTTTTGGTGAAGTCATGAGGAAAGAAAAATGAAAATTCATAAGCCTGTGCGCCTTACTCGTGGGAGAGCATACGTATTTACTCGCACAATTTGCGCCCTCGCGTAGTTTATGCATCCCTAATATTTAGCCAGCTTTACTAAAGAAACAAATATTTACTCGCGTATTTTGTGCTAAAATGTGTGCAAGCAGTAATGGCAATATTTCACAACACTTCATTGCTACCTAATTAAAGAGAGAGTGGTTTAATAGCAAAGTATTTCATCTTTAGTGTCAAATCTCTGGGAGCTTTAGAAGATATATGTGTGGAACCCAGTGGCAGGCGAAACAGTGATGAGTGTAGATTATCTTGTCTGGCCGTCTACCTTTAATATCCTTCTTGAGATTTTTCTTGGCCAGTTACCACAAAACACTCTACTTTTTGTGTGGAAAACCATGGGGACAGGATTTTAACTGAAGTGTTTATCAGCCGCAGTTCTACTGACTTGAGAAACTGAGTTTAGTCATATTTGAGAGACTTGGGAGGAGGAAGCTAATTGTGCTTCCTCCTCCCCCTCTTCACTTACTTTTTTTTGTCTTTCTTTCTGTCTCCTTTTTTGTTGCATTATTTTTATTATTTGCAAAAAAGCATCTACATCTACTAGTACGTTCTGGTACTGTAGTGCGCGAGACATTCATGTGCATTGCAGGGATATGAACCTGTGCTCTTATGAGCATAGGCTGTCATACGCTCTACAGCAACTTGAGCAAGCTTTGAACTCTGAAAACCCATGTATTTTTTACTAGAACACGCAAGTACTCCTAAAGCACTGAGGTAACTTTCAGGCTGTTTTAAACAGTTCTCATGTATTCAAAAAGTTTGTCATTGCAAGTTGCATTTTCTTCCTTCGTTGCTGGCAGTGGCACTAAAGACACTTCATTTTTTTTTTTTTTTTGTAGAGGCCTGCGTAGTTTGGTTTAGGTGCACATGTAAAGAACCCTGGCTGGTAGAAATTAGCAGATCTTTCCACTATGACATGCCCCATAATTGGGTTGTAGTTTTGCCATGTAATACCCAAAAAATTATTATTGCATTGGCTGTCATGTCGATCAGAATGACAACACCGTGCAGTTTATTGAAGCACTTGCATGCATTTATGTGCTGCTGTGATGTAGTACTTGTACAGCATATGAACAGTTCATACCGAAATATTTTTGCAAGGATTCTACAAAGTCTTCTCTATAAGAACTTAGCCAACTTGAATGTTCTTGCTTTAGGGGCTGATGTGACTGCTGAAAGTGGTTTCGCTGCATGTAGCTGCGACTTTAACTTCTAACAGATAATTGTGCACATTTCTAAGCACCAATAATGCATTCTTACAGCTATGTTCTGTAGCTCTGTAGATCTTGTGTTAGCCAGTGCTGTGGCAGTCATGTGGTCAGCATTAAAGGGGCCCTGCAACTTGTTCAAGTAATCATTGAATGGCTCCTTAAAATGAGTCAATGGCCTCACGAATTGATTGCTGCAAAAAAATTTTTGTAATACATGGACTACAAAAGAAGTTACAGGAATTCGTCGTACGCTTTAACAAGGAAGGCTACACTTGATGGGCAACTTCTTTGTTTATGTATAGATCTGAATGAAATTTTCACAGTTTGTTTATTTAGATGTGCTGATTCTATAAAATGTAATTACTTTTTCGATAGGTCAGGTAGTTTCCAAGATACTCCCCAATCAATGTAGAAGCTGGGTCCTTTGTTTGCGGCCTAATTAGCATGTAAGCAGGAATCACGAAAACATTGGCGACAGTGTAAACACAATGTAGGATGTTTAAGGAGTGAAATGTGCTATAAATCAATTTGCTGATCCAATTTCAACAAGAGTTAGAGGACATCAATGTTCAGAGAAAAAAAAGCCACCTTCACCTGTGATGCATGTGACCCAATTAAAAATTTTTTTTATCTGTATGTTGCCTTCAACTTAGGCATATTGCATACTGCATGCATTTATCTTTCTGGCAAAAAAAAAAGAATTATGCTGATAGCTCGATTGGAACAGAAGTTATTTTCTCTCAAACTTGGCAAATGTGCCAAAATTGATGTTTTGAAAAAACGAGGAAAAACAATTTCAGACACCTTTATTCCAAAAATTACTAATAAAATATTATAAAAATGCACCAGTGGCCTAATCGCCCCGCCGCGGTGGTCTAGTGGCTAAGGTACTCGGCTGCTGACCCGCAGGGCGCGGGTTCGAATCCCGGCTGCGGCGGCTGCATTTCCGATGGAGGCGGAAATGTTGTAGGCCCGTGTGCTCAGATTTGGGTGCACGTTAAAGAACCCCAGGTGGTCTAAATTTCCGGAGCCCTCCACTACGGCGTCTCTCATAATCATATAGTGGTTTTGGGACGTTAAACCCCACATATCAATAAAATCAACCAGTGGCTTAATCTGAATGCATCCCACTCTTATGCTTCTTCCTGACCAGCTTTCTCTAACTTTGCGACGCTTCTCTCTATTTATTTGAGGTTGCACTCTGACGACAGTCCTTCTCTCTAGCCCTCAGGGATGTGCTGCTGAATATCATGACGTCCAGCTGCTCTAGAATAGCAGCAAATGCATTGACATTGCCCGTGTTGAAGCACAGCACAATTTCTGCAGCAGCAGCATGCACAGAAAAAAGAGAATCGGGCTGCTCTTTTGATACCAAACTCCAAATCTCGCATTGGAGGCTTTCGTGTGAATTCTGAGTCTTGCCTTGCTGGCATCTTGCCTCGCTGCTGCACCACTTGACTCCGAAGAGAGCCCAATTTTTCACGCTGTTGCCAACACTGACGAAAGACCCTCAAGCGTCGTGGTTGTCTCGCGGGCGCGCACATCGCGAACTTCACTGGCATTAGTTACATTAGCATCTGCCCGCACACGGCCGGTGTCGACATAGCGCGCACTGTCAGGGAGGCTTGTGTCTATGCACACTTCGTTGGCGATAGCATCGGCGCAGTTATAATTCACAGAGCGTCTGCTATCTGGGGAAGCCGTTTCGCAAACTTTTTCTTTGATAACATCTTCAGTACACGGGCGGCCAGCGTCCACGTCGCGCACGCACTACCACGGCGTTATCAAACAATGTCGGCGCTTGCTCTTGCGACACAGTAGCAGCAGTTCTGCCTTTCTTCGGTGAACAGCGAAAATAATGCTGCGATCTGAACTTTTTTGCACCGCCGAGCATAGCGAGATGCACAAGCACGTTAGAGGTACAAGTAACAACACCTTCGTAAGGGCAATACCCTTTTAAAATGGTGGCGGACACTGCCAGCGAGTTTTCCTGGCCAATCGAGAAGCGCCATGTTGGTCACGTGTGTCAAGCAACCAATAGAATCACGTGCTGTGGGTGATTTTGACTTCGCTTTTTTTGCTTTTGCAAGGGGCAGATAGTTGTCTACTTGAAAAGAAAAAAAAAAAAGCTAGAAACGCGACCTTTCCAACAAGACCAAAATGACACTGATGGAGTGCGTAGTTCGCGTGCCGTCGGCGGTTGAAGTATGGCTAGTTCACACTGCAGGTCTTCTTGTGCGAAGTTGCTCTCTTTTTGGGATATAACTTGAGAAATAAGTGGAATTTTGAAGCCAAACTTTGCTGATAGGTGAGGAAGGGCATCGGGTACGCGAAAATGATGAGAGAAAAAAATGCGATTTTTGGGCCGATTTTCGACTTACAGTGCCACGTCCCCCCTTATGCGCTTCCTCTCCTTTTTTACCTGTGAGCGCACTCAAAGCTAGGACTGGGTGATCTGGGACTGGGTGAAAGGCAAGCAGCTATGTCTGTTTGTCAGTGCATGTCATGACCCTGAGTGCTTTCTTTTCCTTTCATTGCGAAATCAATTATACCTACATTCTCGACTTGTTCTTGCTGTTGGGGTCATGTCACTCGATGATGAAACAAGAAAAGGTCATGATGATGCCTTAGAACAGGATTCGATGAAAGAGAAGTGGTGCATGGCTCGAAGATCTTTCATTGATTCTTTCTCGTGGTTCGTACAGGTCCTTGAAATCCTTGAAAACTCTTGAATTCAAAAAATTCATTTTCAAGGCCCTTGACGAAGCAGTAATGCAGCATAGGCACACAGAATCCCATTTTGCAAAAATGCATGTGAAAAAAAAAAAAGTTAGTTTCATGGCGAGGGGAAGCAGTGAATGTGGTAGCAAGAAATTAGAATGTCACACGAAGAAGGGCAAGCAACCCCATACATACAACGTGCCTCTCGACTCAAAGGATGCACGCAAAGAAACCGTATAGGACGAGTGCTGATGAATGACTGTCACAGCTTGACACTGGAAGTGTCCTGCTTAAACAAACCAAAAAGGATGCTAGAAAAGAACACACATGTATC